CTGAAAAAAAGGACGGAAAGAAAGAAAGAAAGACGGGCAGAGACCCACCTGGCTTGACTACCCACCATGACTGCATTAAAAATCAACTTAATTTCACTGCCCATGGGGTCATTTTTATGGAAACACAAAAACCAAGATCAACACAAACACGGCAACTGGCAAGAAGCAACATTCAACATGCAGCAGCAACAGCAACAACAAAAACAGCAACAACAACAGAAGCAACAACAATAACCGAGAGCAACGATGAAAAAATGATGAAGACCTCCAAAGTGGCAAAACACGAAATGGCAACAAAAATCATATTTTCACAGGCGCTTGGCGTTTGCGCAGAACTTCGCACTTGATCGTCTTATGGAATTGGGGGGAAAATGGCGGGGAAAATGGGGAACCGGGATGGATCTCCGCTGAGAGATCCCAAAACATACGCAATTATGTGTTTTTTATTAACTCGGAGATCGGGCCTCCGGGAGGAGAATCCACTCCGAGTTCGGTTCAGCGGAGTCCATCGCCATTAGGGGGGTCCACTCGTACGGTCCACACACGCACTCTCTATATAATTTTAACACATGCTGCGTTTTGGGCCTTTCGTTTCCCAGTTCGCATCTTTCTTTTGCTCCTCCTTTTGTTTTCCCCTTTTTTCCTGTTTTTTTTTTTTTTTTTTGGCACTGCAACATTTCCCTTCAAGGCTCCAAGGCTTAATAACTTTATTTAGCTTAGATGGAGATGAAGATGGCGATCGTGAGCCGTGTGTGGCTCAAGCCCAGCATTTGAGGCACGAACGGATCGGGATGAGGCTTTCGCTTTGGTATTAATTAGCGCGGTAGTCCTTTGTGGAGATGGCTAAGAACCCAGCCACAATAACCCACAACAAAGGTTGCACAATCGGCTCGGCTTTGGTGTTGCGTTATTTAGACATCAAGACTTTGATTGATGACTCTTTAGCCTTTTGAGCCGAATGACTTGGGTGTTAACGGATAACTAATAGCATTGGCAAGATGTAATAACACTAAAATTGATTGTAAAACTTTTATGGACGCTGAACACATAAACTGCAGCAAGAGATTTAAAAAATATATACCATATATTTACTTGCTTAATATCCACAATTTAAAACGAACAATCATTTTATTATATATATTTTTTTGATCCCAAAGTAATATCCCCATTCGTATTCCGTAATATTTTATAGCCCAGATGTAACCTTCAACACCCACTTCACTTAATTTTTATCTTATCCACCTCATTTTTCACATTACAAGTCAAATTAGCAGGGCGCAAAACCACACAAAATCCTGCGCCACATGGAACAATTAAATAATTCATTTATCTTAATTTGTCTGCAATTTCCTTGGATCACCTTGGAACCCAGCTGCCTTCTGCTGCCATCGGGCCGGAAAAAAAATTTGAAATTAATTGCTGCCAGCGACTTTCGTTTCGTTTTGGTTCCACCGCCGCCGCCGCCTGAGATTTCTGCTGTGTCATAATCTTCACACCCGAAAAAGGATTCACGATCGCTCCGCAGACAGATCGTTCGGGGTGATGATCTTTTTCTGCAGCTCTACCGCCTCTTTGTGGCCCGTTTGGAGGTTGTAATCTTTAAATAATTTAAGCCAATTCGCCGTAAACCGTTAAGGGTTCGAAGCAGTCCAGGGCGTTGCCCATCCATCTGCGATCTTGCCGATCCGATCTGTGTTAATATTTGCTCACGATCATCGGCTTTTAAGGATCTCCGGCGGGAAGGACGGCGGAGGAAGTGGGGCAAAACCCTAATTACCACATTAAGGTGTCAAAATGATGAGCATCATCTGCTTTGTCTGGCGTTTCTTTGCCGGCAACAATGTGGCAAATTTAATGAATATGTCAAGTAGTCAGCGCTCCAGAGTGTCCAGTGATAAATCTGCCTTAACGTCTTAGAACGCTGGGAACCCAGCCGCAATTGACAGCAGTCCAGCAGACTCGCTGGAAGCCATGGGTTTTATGAAGGAATCTGTGGAGAAGTCTCCGGTTTTGCTTATGGAGCGTGTCCGATCACCAGATGGCCACATTTTGTCTTTGTGCCTGGGAATTTTCTGAAAAAAGCCCTTAAAACTTTGTGGCTGACTTTTGTGGTCTAAAATTATGTAAGCAAAGAAAGGTGAGAAAAGGTCATTTGGAATTTAAAAATATTTTTTAAATATTTAGTAGCTTAGTTCAGTACTTCGATCGAGATTTATGCATTCAACATTTAGATAAAATAAGAAATTGATAAGAGATAAGTTAATATTTTAAATCTATCTGAGTTCCCTTTATATTGAACCTTTTTTTTTTTGATTTCTACAATACATTAACTAACTGTTAAACTGCTATTCAGTTTATAATGAGGACTTTCTTACTTGAATTTTCCCTTAGGACAGAAAGTCACTTTTCCATTTCCTATAGTCAGAAGATCCTAATTCTTTGCTGCTTTCCAAATCAAAGTCAAAGTCAGGAATTGACCAACCCAAAAAAGACGATCGACCTTTTTTGCCTTAGCCTTCTTCCCTTCCCTTTTTTTTGCCACATTCTTTTACGCTCGCCTTCTTCATTTCCACTTCTTCGGGTTGTCTTTTGAGCCTTCTTGGGCTGTAGGTCTCTTCGGACCCAGGTTGAGGTCCAGGTTGCAGGTTCTCCAGGTTCCAGGTTCCAGGTTGCAGCCAGGTCCATCGGTCGGTCGGTCGGTCGTTCGTTCCATTTTAATAACATTAATTAAGGTGTTGCCTTCGTTGGTGTTCTTCACGCCTTTCCTTACAAATTACGCAGGAATTTCATGTTTCAGGTTTTGTTTCTGTAGTTTTTCGTTGCTGTTTGCTGTTGTTGCTGTTATTTGGATCCCGGACAGGCGTTCAAGCGGTCTTAATAGTTGTTCTTCTTTATTGTTGTAGCGCCCCGTCTGCCGTTCTTTGTTGTTGCTTCTCCTGCAAAGAAGAGAACTGCTGGCCAAGAACTGCAATTTGGCTAAAATGGTTCCTGCCGACTGATCATTGAGGATCGATACGTACACCTCCGAATTAAGCCATTAGCTGGTGTCTATATAGAGGCACATTTATATACTCCTTATATATCAGATTGATATGGGGCGCCATTTTAGGCGCCACTTGAAAGAAATTCAGCCGCTTTTATGGAAATTATTATGCAAGCGGAAACATTTAACATAATATATAGTATTATATTAAATGTATTCGTTAAGAACACATCTTTAAAAACTAAATATATTATCAATATATTATGGTGTCACGGATATCGTTGTTCATAGAGGCAATTAAATAAACAACCTATACATAATTCAAATGAAAGCTTTAATCTTAATTTAGATCCACAAGATGTACATATATTTAATAAACTTATGCATTTTCCTCTGTGTAAGGACAGCATACAATTTTAATTTTATTAAAACACCTAAAAGAAGAAGTAGTCGAGGAGCCATCTTCAGTTACCTCAGCCAAGGTCGGCTTGAGGTCAATGGCACTCTAGAAAAAATAATGGAAATGGAGTGAGAGGTAGCGCCAGCCTCGTGTTTAGTTTGTTAGATGGATGACTAATAAGCGTCGCCACAATTAATTGAAATCCACTGATACGCATCTACCGAATGGCTTCAGATACAAGCAAATCTCATTAACGCGCCCAAGATAAAGCCACTGGAATCTGGAAAAACAACGCGAGGCGGAGGAGAAGAGATGCGATCCCAACGCACATATATCTCAGCGTACATTTTGTTCAGTCAAGTGAACCAAAGCCAAAGAAGCGGCCAAGAAGATTCCATTCCCGATCCCAATCCCAATCCCAATACAATCTTGAGCCCAATTCCGTATCCACATCGGAGGCTTTATAAATGCATGCAGATACAGTTTTCGTCTTTTGTCTCTCTTTTTTTGGAAGTCAAGCGGTTTGCATTTGTACGATAAATAAAATGAATGCGATTGTTAATTAGTTGTTGCTTTTGGAGAGCTGCTGCCGCTGATGTTTTGCTGGAAGTATCTTATCGTTGCCATGGGCTTGTCTCCTTGGCATCCCCAAAATAATAAACCAAATAAGAGGCTCACAAGTAGGCAAATGAATCGGAATTTAGTCTTTGGTATTTATTGGGGTCCCTTAAATTATTTTTTAAAGTAAATTAGAATTATTATACAAACGAAGTGGTTATAAAAATAATTTAATAAAATGTTAGAAAGTTACTCAAGTATGCTTTTTTAAATAAATCAGCTTACAAGAAAATCTCCGCCCATGAGTGAAATTAGTAAAACACACAAAACGTTTTAGCCATTCATCACCCACTTCTCATCCAATTTAAAATTCCAATAGAGTCAATTTTTCTGATAGCAGCATATATAATGCACATTTGTTTGCTTCTGTTGCCTGCGTTGGAACATCACAATATGATATTCATTTAATTACATGCATTTAGCGACATCGATTTGATTTTTTAATTTATGCATCCAAAGATCGATGGCGCTCAATCGATCTGTCTGTGAATCTCGTAATTTATTCACAATGGGCAAATCAATTTTCATTCTGTTCAATGTGCGTTTTGCATTTTTTTCGTTGTCATCGAACTTTTGTTTGCTGTTTAGGCAAATTTCTATAGATTTTTATCTCGTGTCGACAACAATAAAATTGTGTTAATTTATGGGAAAGTCAACGGAATGACTATGCCCAAAAGATAGATAGATACACTTGAATGAAACTGGGAAACTTGTTTTTGCTGCCAATCGATTAGTGTATGTTGTTGTGTTGTCTTCGTTAATTTACGTTTAATCATTTATGCAGATTTCAATCAATGGGCGAATCGACTTGAAATACATTTCCGTTTAGCATATAATTTTGTTGTAGACAATCTGGTTATTTGAAATTCAATTTGTTTGCAATTAATTGGATGACAAGCAGAAGGAGTTGTAAAACGGTTCAATGAAATTTTGATTCTATAATAAAAAACATTGCAAGAAATCAGAGATACTTTTAAAATAATAAAACTAGTTTTATTGTTAATTTTTTCTTTGACTTTTATTACAAATATTTACAAGGCTTACATGAGTTGCATATGAATGATATAACGTAGGCATGTTTATGTGGTTTTTATTTCGTATTTACAACTAGCTAAAAGATTAGAGATACTTGTGTTTACTTGTTAGTTAATACTTAAAACGTTTTCTGTGTAAGTGTGTGTTTTCTATCACGCGAAATGGAAAGCTTTCAAAAATTCTATTCCTGACTAAGCCGAAGAGAATAATACAAATAATAATAATGGTGGCCATTCAAAGACAGGTGTTGACTGCTCGATGCTCCAGGCACTTTTCACAGGTCACCTCGCAGCACCATTTGAAAACGCATTTGCAGTTGGTCTGCTCCTCAACAATCCTTCGAGTGTGACCGCGGTTGCAGCACAATCGATCGCATCGATCGGATCCCGGACTGGTCACATTGCACTCCCTGCCCTGAGTTCCCAGCGCTCCTGTTTTCGAGTTGGGTAAGCAAAAGTCGGGCGACTCGTCGGCGAATACCAGTTGGTATTTGTTCGCCGGCCTCGAGTGCGGACTTTCCGGCATGAAGCTATCACCATCGTTGCGCAACGTCACCTTCCTGGCGCTGTCGTACCGGTCACGCAGTCGTCCTGCCACTTCCCGGAACGGGGGCATCTTCAGCCAGCAGGTCTTCACCGTACAGGATCCGGAAAGCCCGTGGCACTTGCACTCCAGCCGCATGGCATCGCGAATGGCCTGGAAGGGTTATGAATAAAATCCTTTACTGCTTTGATTTTAATAGTGTTATGTAAATAGTATTTTTTTAATAATTGCGATCACGATTTCGATTCAATCGCACAGAATTTTGTGCTAAATTTATGTCAGTAATTTTTTTCAAAATGTACTTACAACATTTGTCAAAATAAATACCTTAAGTTAAATATTAAACTAAATTTCTTTACTTAATTTTTTTAAGTGAAACACAAACATGGCATACTTTTCCTTTTTTTTTTGCTAATGGCACACGGTTTGAAACAAGTGCCTTTTAATAAGCTATTAATTTTTTTTATAGCTCAATAAATATTTTTTAAAAGTTAGTGTTATACCAAATTGGTGGAGAACTCACCAATCTGCCCGCATTATTGTTGTGCAGCTTGACCAGCGTGCCGAGATCGCTGCGCCTCTGCCTTTGCTTGGCGTCGAGGAAAACGCGCGAGTTGCGAAGGCCAAAGTTCACGTTGTCGCTGCAGCCGCCCCACTCCCACTGACCCTCGGGGAACTTGATGTTGTCCCAGAACTTGCGACGCCCCCTCCTGCCTCCGTGCTTCCGATTCCGTCCGTTTCGGTTCTCCGGCGGAGATAAGTCCGTCATGGTGCTGCCGTTGTTGATGCGATTCATTCGCTGCTGCTGACTAAGAAGTGCATCCTGCAGGGGCAACTGTTGCCGCAACATCGCAGCCTGTTGTTGCCGTTCTAATGTTGCCTCCGCGGTGGCTGCCGTCACCATTTGGGGCTGGCCGCCGTTCCTGCGCATGTGAGCCTTGTCGCAGGAGCACTCCACCAACGTGCCCATCGTGCAGGCCTTCGTCACCGCGTATGTCACTCCGGCGGCTGTGATTGCGTTCACGAATCCCGTCTCCCGAGAATCTGGAAAAGTAAGAGTTTAAGATTTAATTCCTGACATTAATACTAATTCTTAAAATATTTTTTGTTTATATCAAATTATAGGAAAACTATATAAGATCTAAATTTAAATAAATTGTTCCTATTTTTGTGAGGTAGTTCCTTATTACCAATAAAAATATTTAAAGTCGCTTTGAAAATATGTAAAAAACAAATAAATATATATTTTTCGATTATCACAAAAATAATTATTTATTTTTTTTATGACGCTTGTCAATAAATTTAAATGTATTTATGCAGAAAATCTGGTAAATAACAAATATTGTTTTTACTAAAGTAAGTCCCAACCAAAAATTTGTAAGGAATTTGTTGTATAAAGTTGTTTCTCCTGAAATGCTTAAACTAACTACTATATCTAAATAACACAACATTTACATTCACCATCTTACTAAAAATAAATATTGTCTGAATAGTTAAATTGATTTTTTTAACACCCCCATTTTTAGTTGGTAATTATCAATAATAAGTGCCACATCCTTTTCCCATAGGCAAACGCACCCTGTGCCAATACCAATATGCCAGACGTTCAATCAATACTCAATCATTAGCCTTGTCAGCACGTGTCGCCTGATTGATTTTAATTTGTCAGCCTCGGCGACAAAATGATTTATTGCTTGTTCGATTGGCGATCACCAATCAGCGATCGCTGCTCTATGCAAATCACAAATCGCGAGTGTCCGCTTTCAGCTCGTGGTGTTTGCAGTCACGTTTAATGAAAGCGAAATCGAAATCCGAATCGCAATTGTAATCGCTGCGTTTTTAATTTGCATAAGCTTGTAATTCACGTAAAGGCGAAGTGCTTGTTCTTTTTCCACCGCGACAGGTGATTTGTCTTGAGCCACCCTAAAATGGAGTGTTACATGAGAGACGAGAGAGTCTTCTTCGGTATTATTTTACTTTTTTATTTTCGCTGACAGGTTGACAGGGCGAGGCTTTAATCCAAGCCAAGGGGAATTTCGGTGGTTACGCCCTTGGAATTTATGGCACATACCCACCGTTTGGTATGTGTTTTGTTTGCGCATTGTTGTCATTAAGTGCAGGGATCGAGGATCGGGGGCAGTATCCAACCCATCCATCCCAAACCATCCTCCTTTCGCCTGCCTTTTTCCTGTGCAATAATTTATTAAAATTGACAGCTTTGTAGGCTCATTTCAGGCGCTATTCATCAGCGCGGGTCGCTGCATTTTTATTATGCAACTTGATGGATGGTGCGGTCTGCAAGGCCTTGTCCATGACAACCCGAAAAAAAACTGAGTTGAGTAAAATAAAGTCGGGGCGTGCAACGATGAGTTGTAATTAGGCAGCTAACCGGCGATAGCATCTCCACCTGGTTTTCAACCTCTGTGAGTCACAGAGTGTTGACAGGTTGCCTGTTGGCACTGCATAATAAAGTCGATCCCCCTCCACTGAAACTAGTTTCGTTCGCCTCTGAAAACTACTTACCGCGCATTAAGATTTTCCTCATGCTCTTGCGCAGAACAGTGCAGTTCCACCGCCGGTTGCGGAATTGAAACTCGCATTCGCGGAAGCCCAGGTTGATGCCACTGACTATGATCTCTTTGAGCAGGGCCGAGTCGTGCCGGCAGATTTCGGCCAACTTGCCACGCAGACGACGTGTCTTTTTGCACATTAGATTTGGATCGAGAAGGATGTTGGTGCCCTCGGCCCTAAAATAATAACAAAGAATTAGATTTATAAAATACAATATAAATGTGTTTATACATGTAATTTTAAATAGCTCACGAAAAATAGATAAAAGATGCTAATAGATTTGACCGGTAGATAACTTATTCGAAACTAAAAAAACAACTGAGTTTCAAGTACTCGACTTTTTTTTTAAGCCTGAGAACTACTAAATCTTTGGTAACCCAAATGATACTTAGTATTAAACATAAAAAATCAGATTTGTCAATTGTTTCATTTTATTTATTTTGATTTTTTTAGTGGTATTGTTTTTTTTTCTGACTGGCTCAAAAAAGGTATTACCCATATTTCTCACCTAGGACACACCTAAATCTATAGCGTCACAGCCGATAAGCAATCACGTATTCGATTATCTATGACCAACTTTTTGTTTTCCTTCAAGGGTTTGTCTCTGACCCGAAGGCATTTATCAGACCAAGCACTTTGTCATCGATGAATATTCTGCACGTTGTTCACATTTTGAAGTTCGCCGAAACTTGGCAGTGATTTCTTGTATTTTTAGACTGACTCAGCCGAGAGTTCCCCTCACTTTTATGGCTCTGAAAGCACCAATTGCGATTCGCTTGAAGCAATAGATAATAGACAAATCGATCAATCAGTGCTTGAGGAAAGAGCAGAACTAGCAGCAGAAAATACCGGCAGCAGAAGGCCCTATTAGCCGCTTTATTTACCCCGGAATCTCAAACCGAGCAGAGCATTAACCATCCGAAACACTTTCCAAACAACTGGAAATCGGCGCAAAGTTCACGAACAGCCAAAGTAAATTTCACGCGAATGTGCAATGTGAAAAAAAGCGAAAAGCCGAGCGATTGAGCTATTAAAAAGTCATAAATCTGAAATGGAAAAACATAAATCAGCGCCAAAGGCGAGCAGTACCCGCAGAAACAATTTCCAGTGGCCGCTTCTGAATGCTGACACATACCCGAGTATTCCGATCTCCAAATGAATATATACTGTACCATAGGTATACACACACACACCCACGTATATATTTATATTTGTGCATACTGCACCCACATTGTTGGGTAATTATTAATTTTCCACCTAAATTAAATTTTAACGCCGCAGAACCAGCCGGCAAATGGCATTCAAAATGAAAACGAAAATTGCATCGATTGGGAAAATTGCAAAATGTTTGTGTGCGCAAGTATGGGTGAAATATTATTGATCGACTTTTGCTAGCGCTTCGGTTCTATAAAAATAAACAATGGATGAGGACCTCTTCATCGTCGCCATTACGTATACGCAGCATATGACGGCCATAAAAAAGCCAAAAAAACTGAAAAATTAGTTCATCTTTTGGAAGTTCTTGTTTTCCTTTGGCTTTCTGCAGTCTTAGCATTTTGGGCAAAATAAACGCTGGCAAATTTCGGCTACAAAAACAAATACAACTATTTTTAATGAACTTGTGCGTGGAATGATATACGAATTGTATGGCGCCAAACTCATAAGTGGAAGCTTAGCCGACAAATATGCTAATTACCGGATGATATGTGGATCGGATTTGTTGTCTCAGATATATTTTACTTATTTTACTAGATTTTTGCCAATCGCAGCATTGCAAAAAATGGAGATGTGGGTGCTGTGCTGATTTGAAACACACACGAAGCTTTTCATTAAAAATCTTTTTAAAATTCACAAAATTTACAAAATATAAAGGAATATACATACTTTAACGATAAAAATTATCTAATTGAATTATAATAAAATATCAAGATTTAAACAACGGAAAGAATTCTGCTTTATATTTTGATGATCTTCTTGAAATTCTATCAGTATAAATACTGATCTATTTATACTGATGAATATATTGTAGTAAAACTGCATTTATAACCGGTTCTAGAAATTCTCAGCATTCTCCCACATCCGATAACCCAGTTCTGGTGATCCCAATTTTCTCAGAGCTAGTAGATAAACCACTTGAAACGCTTCAGATTCCCATTATCGATGCCCACCTGGGTCGCCTTTGCCACCTGGCTGTTGCACTGCAGCTCCCTGTGGCAATGCCACAGAAATTATACACACACTTCCAAAACACTCGACGAGATTATGACAACTTAATAGCTACAAAATGAAAAAAAAACAAAAAAAATCCGAATAACAAATAGAGCAGACACACGCACGCACAAGTACTTAACGAAAATATTAACTCCAAAGGCAACAAAAAACAATCGCCTCTCGACCGCCAAACACACAAACTTCAAATGATAGACGCGCTGGTAAACAAAGTAGAAACAATTGAAGTTCAAATCACAATGATCATCTTCATCTTCGATCGAGATGTTGCTGTTGCTGTTGGGCTGTTGGGAATCTAGATGTTGCTGTTGCTACTCTAAATGTTGCTGCTTTGATGATGATGACGTCTTGGCTGCGTTGCGTTGATGACTGGAGAGATCTAAAGAACTCAAACACCTTTCAACCACACAAGTTGCCACCACCACCGAACACAAATAGCAACGCGAGGCACAAAAAAAAAACGCAGGAGATTTTTGTTAAGCGGAAAATAGCCGCACAGAGAGTGGAGCAACCGATCGTTCGACACTTTTTGGTTTTTGAAGTTGAACTGAAGTTTACTTGGCAGCGAACTCGGCAGCGAAGTTGTCGGCAAACATGAAAAGGAGCCAGCGCAACTTCAGGTCTCTCAGGTCCCCTCCCCCCTCTCCTCCCTCTCACAAAACCCATCCCGTTCCCCCTGCTCCCAAATGCCATCCCATATCCCACACTATACCATCCCATACCATCCCATTCCATCCAGTAAAGCAACACTTGGCAACGTATCTTTATTTTGCTCCCAGTATCTGTGTGCGTTTGTTTGCCAACTGTATGCATGTGTGCGAGTGTGTGTGTGTGTCGTTATAGGCCTCAATGGACTTTCAGTGATTCCTTTCCCTCTCTTTCTCTTTGTGTCTGCCTTTCTCTCCTTTAAGGTGCTTTGGCATTGATCAAAGTGCCCGGTTTGGTTTGGTAGCCCCGAACAGACAAGTGGTTGAAATTTCCCATACTATCCCATACCCCATAGGATTGTAAGTGCTATTAAAAAAGCGGGGAAATATTTCGAAATTTTTAGGGAGTATTCCAGAACGCAGAAAATTTATATTTATATTTTTTTTATAATTTATGAATTGGGTATTTAAAAAAAAGTTCTAAAAATTGTTGTGGGGAAACAAACTTGTGTGGCTGAATAAATATTAATCAATCGAATCACCTTTAATAAATGTAAATATTTTAAAAAAGTTTAACCCAACGATTTTTAAATTCACAGTTAAACTGTTCTATGAAAAAACTAATAATATAATTAAGTACTTAAGTGAAATGTATGACTTGTTTGCTTAATACTGACAGGCCATTGAAAGTTAGTTAAGAAATTATCAGTATAGTTAACAGGTAATTATTGTTTAGTATTATAAATCTTGTAACCTGCAATGAAAAATATGGGACTCCAATTATACAAATATGTAGAGATAATAAATGTGATTTTATGCGAGTTAGTAACAACGTCCTGCATTTTGTGAAAAAAGTTGTATCAAACTCACTGCAGTTTTTCCCACCTGCTATCTCGATTGCTCTGTGTAAATAAGTAGAATCGTTTGATTGACTCATTTTCGTGAGTTGCTTGTCCAGGTTGCCGCTTTACTCCCCTCCCCTCCTGCCTCCTCCCCTTGACCATACGAATTCCCCTTCTGGCCCGTGTGGTCAGTGTAAACAAATCAACGACTTAAACCACTTGTCAACATGCGAGTGGCAAAGTATTTAAACAAAGCGTTGACAAGTGAATGAATGGCCATTGGATTGGTCGCCCGGCTGGCTCTCTGGCATTTTTATATTCTGACTTTCCTGACTGCCTGCCTCTTGGCTCTGAGCTGGTCCGTTGGATTTTCGCCTTGGCCAAGTCAAGTGCTGTTGCGGCTGGTCAGTTTCATTTACGCGCTCAAATATTTGCCTACAGAATGCCTCGGCGCAAGTGCTGATCTCTTGTGCATACGAATTTCGAGGGAGAAGCGTTTGATGTGGGCGGCAGCATTGACAATCGATTAGGTTCCCCCCAGTCTGAGCTACTGGCAAAAAAGCTGGTGAATAAATAAATAAGAAACACCGAAAAGGTGTTGACATGCCTGGGAGTTGGGAGCCGATCTGATCCGGTGGGTGCGGCATCGTGTGTGGGCGCCACATGCTGCTTTTTGCCACCTTTTTTCGGGGAAGAAGAGAACGAACTGGCGTTTGTCATTTGGCAATTAGCATATTATCTCAGGCGCCGCTTTTAAATCCAATATATCATTTAATTCTTTATAAACTATGCAGTAACATATATTTATATTTGCTTTGTTTATTTGTTTCAGTATTAATAGTAGTTTAATAATGGCATTATTGAAGTGTATATTGTTCTTATGTCAAGAGCACGATACCATTGCATAGAAATATTTGAAAGTTATAAATATTTAAATTTGTAACTTTTAGTTCCTCATAACCATAACTAACTCTATTTTAACTTCAATTTCAATGCATTCGATTTAAAATAACTCCAAGCGTTGTTAGTCTTTAATCATTTTCCGAGTCATGTATATAATTCACTGGTCAGTCAGAAATCATCAATAAATAATAAAACCTATTAAAAATTAGAGTTTTTTCTTAAAAAAATGTATAAAAAAGTTATAAATTTATAATGATTTTTTAAGCCTCAGGTTACTTCAATATATGTCCTTCTACTTTTATTTATGGCACATCGACTTTAAACTAATGTTTAGTTAGAGCTGGAATCCCAAACTTAGGTGTTCGCACTGTTTCCCAGGCATGCCCATGTCCAATTGGCGCAACAAAAACGCCGGCTAATAATTCAGGCATATTTACTATGAGCATTTTCCGCGCCAGGCGATGTCATTCCTTTAACAAGCCTCCTTAAGTTCCAGTGGGCAGGGCACGACTTCAACTTTAGCCTTAAGTGCTTAAAACTCCGCTTAACTCCCTTGGCCAACAAAGGCGACATCAATCTCTGGGCTTGGTGACTTTGAGGTGCGCAAATTGCGACAACGTTTAACTTAATTATGGCTAAAATAGGCGTAGCTGGGCTTTGGCAACGATCATCGTCGCACGGACATGGTCATGTTCATGTCAAGGATGTCTAAACTGTGCTTAATCACACTGATTGAGGTTGTGAGAACGAGGAATTGGGTACCTTGGCTGATGGACAAGGATTCCTTGGGGCTTAGAATGCCAGCGACATTAGAGATTGGAAAATATTTTGATATGGGGAAAAATTTATATGATTAGGTGAGCAACATAAAAGGCATATAGTTTTATTGGGAAAATTATTTGAGACGAATTGATATCTTACAGTTGAACACATTTCAAATTTTAAATATATATATTTTTTATTAAAAATATGTTGGTTACTTTAACATATAAAAATTGGGACTATCGGTATTATCACCATTGTTAACCTATTAAAACATTAATGAATAAAATTACTGGAGGTTTTGAAGGAATATTTGGAGAGTTTAGATTACTAATGTACCGATCACATTTAACTCGAATATCCTTTTTTAATTCTAATGAATTTGCATAAAGCCTTTTATGAAAATCCTAACACTGATTCCCTACATTTTTAATAAGCTTCCGTAATTTTGTGATCCCAGTGCACCCTATTCCCTTCGAGATGACGGCCAGAACACATTCTCGAGGCACTTGGCTTACATTGTTTGACAGACATCTTGGCCTGGCCCTCTACCTGTTCATGGGCCACACTGTCCTCCAACTTGACCCATGTCTGGTCGTGTTCTTTTGTTTCGTCATCCAATTTAATTATGATGCAGTCGACAGACAGACCGAAGACAGACACATTCGTCAATGTGACGTGGGGAAAGCGACAAATTACCGAAATAAACAAATGGCATGACTCGTAATTAAAAGATTTGCAACATCTAGTGCTCGGGAAGTAGCTGCTTTTTGGGGTTGAGGTTGGGGAAAGAAACTTGAACGTGAAACTTTCTCTAGAGACACGGACACGGACGAAGAGACTCTCGTTAATGTCGGGCGAATTGTGTCAGAGACTCTTTTTTTTTTTGCTGCTCATAATCAACTCATCTGCATTGGATTTTGGCAATTGGCCGAGTTTTGTCTGCTCGTTAGTTGAACATAATTATTGTGTTGTTTTTGCTTTTTGCGGTTCGGGGGTGTTTGTTGCTGCTGGCTCATAAAGTGTGCCAAATTCGCGCTAGAGATAATCTCGTGGTTGCACGGGGCGTATGAGCAATGCAATGTTGATGCAACCACCGACTGTGGAGCCAACACAGCTTGAGACTAAGTGGCCACTGGGCCACCCACCACCCCCTGATCGCCTTAACCCATAAACGCCCCGCCTGGCATTAATTACCATTTCACATGCTGCGAGTGCCCGAAAAAAAGAAGGAAATCAGAATATGAGGGGCACTGACTGAACCGATTTTCGATGAATGAAAATGTGTATTGCGAATTGAATGAAAAGCAGGAAGTCGCCAGCAAATGTCAAATGATTTTTCTAACGGAAATGAGCTCATTTAGGGTTTTTTTTAGGGGAAAACTCAAACTGCAGCTGATCTCGCAAATTGCGAGATCTTCATCATCGTCTCGGGCGCTGGTTTTAATTAAATTCCAGACACATCAGAGCTAAATTTCTGCCCGATCGACGGCAATTTGTTGTAAGATTCTCTGTAATTGGCTGCCCCTTTGCCGGTCCCTCAGCTTCCCGGAATTTCCATTCATTTAACGGAACGTCTACCCACAATTCACAATACGATCCCCGTCGATTCGCATTCGTCTCTGCTCATCTCTGCCCATCGATTATGATCTCAATCGCTCACACAACGACCGTTTGATTTAGTGCACTTCGGCTGCAAATTTCGCAAAATGCACACAAACAAAATGAGATACGATTTTGTGGAGCCGTAAACCTCCCAAATCGCCTCATTTTCGCTATTTCCGGACCCATTCCAAAACGCAAATGGCGCAGATCCGCTCTTCATCGCTGACTATAAACCCATCGATGATCGATCGGATTTGTGCGTGAAGGCAGATTTTAATACATTTAAGATCTGGAATGTTACGCTTAGTTTTAGGGTTATGTTGAAAGAAATACTTTCCTTTATTTTATGAAATTGTATTCTAAATTATATTTAGATATCTTGTGGAATTCGAACCACTATTTTAAAAAATATTTAAAAACGGACTTGCTCCTGATTTTGACATATTTGTTATTAAATAGTTATGGCAATAAGCTTTTAGTTACAAAAACTTACAAAAATCTTAAAACATCTTTACGTACACCCTTAATATTTTAAAACAGTTTTTTGTTTAAAAACTAGATAAATACATATGGCTTATTGTTAATGAAGATATAACATTTTTCACATTGCTAAACCAAAGTTAATTATTTAAATTAACCAATATTTTTATTATATGTTTTACTTCTGACTTTGAGTTTTCTTGATGGGTGGTATTGGCCATATTTTAACACCTTGTCCCTCAGTCAGTAGGTCCGTCTGTCACCTTTCATGGCCTACAGGCTTTCATCAGTTTGGCTTGTTTTTTTTTTACATAACATTTTTGGTTGCATTTCTGGCTGCCCCACCGCCCTTGAGCGGCACAGATGAAGCGTAGAAAGTGGCACAGCCAAAGGCAGACGTTCTGGTATCTTTTTTGTTTTCTGTGCAACTTTTGGGTAGTGGCGACATCATCGGACGCACATCCACATCTACTCTATGGCCACATCTCGTTCAGCGTTCGACATCAAAAGGCGGCAAAAAGGAATGACAGCGCTGAACTTGAGCTTTAATTATTTAATTAATTTATTGTGAAAATGTTGCAATTGAATTGGATGCAGCATGGAAACACCCATCCACTTTTCTTCCCCTTTCCCTTTAGTTTCGCAGGTGGCCACCTTTGCTGGCTGACGCGCCCAGTTGCACAGAACTCAAATTAAATTAATGAAAATAAAAAAAATGTAAAAAATATATACTCGTATATATAGTAGGTGTAGCCGCATAATCGTCATGCAGTCTACGCCACGCGACGCCCACGCCGCCCCCTTTTGGCCACCTTACCTTCCTGCAATCCTGCCAAATTTTAGCTTTCGCTGCTGTTGACAGCCACAATATTTCTACCTTTTGCCAAATAAATATAAAAGCAGACCTCTTTGGGTGAATTCATTGATGCCACTTTGCTGGCAAATATTTTGGCAAAGTGCATAACTTATGTGTACGTAAGGAAGCCCCTTTCTTCCCGTCACTATTTTTCCTTCTATTTGATGTCTGTCCTCCTCGGTTTGTTTATTTATTTTTTCATCTCGTTGGACGCCTTTTCGCCTGTAATTTCGCGCATAAATTGCTCCAAGTGTCATTTGGTTTTTCAGCTTCATCCGCTTCTAAGCTATTTATTTTGGCAACAAAAAAAAAACGCCCAGAAAAAAAGAGGGAGAGTAGAAAAGTTGCCATGTAATTAAATCTAAATCAAACGTCACATTTTGAAGGTCCGCCGAGTCGGTCGCCACGCTCGATTGGCTCTGATTTGGCTTTGCATTTGCATTTTGACCATTTATATCGCTTTCGGCTGTGCATTTATTTTGGTGACTGCACTTTTTTATGTTATTTTCGAACTGTTCAACCGGAAGCTGTTACGCCAATCTCTATCTCGTAAATTGATGCGATTTGACATGGGCACAGATGCTCTGTGGCCAAAAGACCTCCGAGCGGGTGGTAATGGGTTTTTTGGCATTGAAACAGAACATAAATTGCATGTTGAGCGAACACCAACAGGCCAAATCAAAGCGACTTGGTTACCTAAGGTGCATAAGATAAACTAGCTGATTAAATTTAGAAACTTTCTTTTTTTCAAAATTTTCTCGGGGTAGAAACACTATGGGTTGGCTTAAAAATTTAGTATTTATATTTTAATCAATCACCATAATTATCTTCTGACGATCCAAGACCAAGAGGTATGTTGCTTCATATTTATTTTATTTCATATATATTTAAAACTTGTAGGTCTGCTCGACTAAAAATTTAAAAAAAAATCTATGTATTTCAGAAGTAGCCCATTTCTTTGAAAAAACTTAAACCATTTTTTGGAATACAGGAATGTGTGTAAGCACCAAGATTCAAAACTGATAAATTCTAATTATCTTTGAACAAACAAAACTTTTGCTTTCGTTTAATTTCCAAAAAAAAAAATGTTGCTGCATAAGCAAGCATATTTTTTCTGACCCAGGAAACCATTGATATGCATATATATTTAATATAAAAAATTTATCAAGAAAAAATTTAATTACAGACATTTCAATACCGTGATTATTTACTCTTCTTAATGATTAAAAGATAGACATAATAAATCTAAATAATATAATCTTCGTTATTACAATTAAGTAGTTTAATGAAGTGACGGTTAATCAGAAGACACTTACCAGCCGAATCCAGTCATTGGCATTGCGAATATTAGAATTGCAACTACCATGAGCAAACGCATATCGATTGAAGCCGCCAAGTGCAGCGGCAACAAACCGAATTCTGGCCCGTTGAGCTGTTTTGTTTTTCTCAGTGAGTGCGTGCTAAATATATATAATGTTTTTGTTGAGTTTTTGGCAGGTAGTTAAAGTTAAAGCCGTTTTTATTGCGGCCACGATGAGTACACGAGATGCTTATTTGAATATCGTTGACGTGTGCGAATTAATCAAGCGTCTCAAGCTGAGTGGATTTTGTGGATTTTTTTTATTCATTTCGTCAGGGGGAAGTTGGCGGTTGGTTGCGGAATCCCGGGCGACATGATCACCGATCTGATCCGAGGTGATCTGGCTGATCTTTCCTGATCTTTCACTTTTCGTTTTTTATTTTGTTTTTGTTTTTGGTTTTGGTTTTTTGCTGATTTCTGCGGCAGAGGCTGCGTACGCACACGGAGAAAGCTGCCGGCGTACTGAGCAGCGGTCAAAAGGAATATTGCCAAGGAGTCGTCGTCGTCGTCGGCCAGGTTTTGCGATCCAGCGAACGAAACAAACAAAAAGTTCCAGGCCCAAAAGTTGAACAGCGAATCAAAAGCCTGGCCAAGGGTGGAGTCCAACTGGGGAATTGTTTTTTTTTCGGCCCGGTCAGTTGGGATACAATATATATGGGATATGGCGGGGTGCAGGATGACCGGGGAGTAGCGTAAAAAATGAAATTAAACGCGCGCTTTAATCAGAATCGCAGGCCGAAGACCCAAGTCGCGCGACTCTGCTTTTGTCCGCGCTTTTTATTTTGCTTTTTATATTCGCTATATACGCTATATTCGCCTTTTGGCTGGATCTTCCTTTTTGCGCCTCTTATGCTCGTATTTTTGTTAATTTTGTTCTTTGCAGAAGTTGTGGCGCATCCTTTGCGCCCGTTTTTCCCATGTTCCCAACATCACAAGACGCACAACATCGAGGAGGAGAATTCTTCTCGCGATCGGAACACTCGCGCTGACCGTTCGTATGGATCTGAGGGATCGCTAGCCGATCATTTCGAGAACGTAGACTCGTAATAACAACCGTGGGATTTTCCACCTCCTCCGCGCTCGCGAAAAACTCACTCGCGAAATACAACGAATACCGATCGGGCCCCGGACTCTTTTCACTGATTCTGCGGATCCGATCGGTTCGGATCGTAACGGATCGGATCGGTAGGGTATCGGTGCGGTACGTTACGGAACGGAACGGATCGGAGAGATCTCGACGACCCCACAAAAAATATAAGGCACTCTATGAATGGACGTCGGTTGTCGGTCGGTTGTCGGATCGTTTCTGATTGTGATACGTCGCCGTCGAAAAGTCTCTTCCTCCACTTTGGCTGCTCTGCTGACGCTCTGTTTGGAAGCGTGAAAATTTATTTCACTCATGCGCGATCCGAGCGCTCAAAATCTGTGGCGTTCTGTTCTGTTCCCCCAAACGCACACTGGGACAGGTTTTTTGGCACTCTGTTGAACATTGGGCTAAAAAATATTTTTAATTTTATAGGTAGGTAGGATTGCTAAAGTGATAAATTGCAAAGTTTGTCCGAAGAAACTGTATATTTTTGTACCTTAATAGTATATTGTAATTATCTGCAAAGTGTTTTAGGAAAAAAAGATTTGAAAAGTTATGAAACAATTTTTAAACTTTTCTTAGTTTTTAAATTTTTAAGTTTTAAGACATAGTCATAGTCATGTTGATTTCTAAACTTTATAAAAACTTGTAAAATAAAGCTTGCCAAAATATTACTCATCCGCTATGTTGGTTACTTGTATAACAATGTGCATTTCGCTCGAAACTTTACATATTTGTTGTAAATAGTTTAATTCATGTAACCATGTATATTTTACTGGTTTAGCTTATGCCAAAAGGCCTAAATTGGCCCACTGTCCAACTTTGCAGTCGCAGTTGACGTCTCAGTTGGCTGCGACGCCACCGCCTGTAGTTTTTGTGTTGATTTTTGAGATATTTTCTAATGTATCTGTAGATTGTGTTGGATGTGCTTTACTTTTTGACGAAGTATTCGGCTAATACAGTGATCGCCATTTGTTAGCAAACTAAGTGAAAGTAAGAGATGAAACAGGAAACTTCTAATTAACCCAATATATTAAAATATTATGGGTGTTATATTTACTGAGTAGCTGTGCCATATAAACTCTTTCGGCTTAAAAAAATTATAACTTATTTTCGTTGTTTAATAAAAGTTGAATATTAAATTTCTATTAATTGGCTACCGGTATGCGTCGCTCACCTGAGACACATACTTTTGCTACTAACTGTAGGCTCTTTGACTCGGTTACGGTTACCTACCCAGTGCGACATCATGCCTCTTGATTTCCGTTTCGGTGACATTGCTCCCCTCCCCACCCCGCACCTGTGAACCTTCCGTCCTGCCACTCATCCCCCATCCCAATTGGCTCCTCCACCCGCGCTCTGTTTTGGCCGCCGCGAATTGTTTACACGCGACAAATTTGTCATCTTTTTTCGTGTACCTCTGGGATGATAAAAAGGTTAGCGACTTTGTCTTTGGCTTGCTCTCCGGTTGTTGGGCTAGGCCACGAGCTCAGGTAACAACAAACAGAGTATAAAAAAAAACCAGAAACAATATCAACCGGTGGTCAGAAGAAAAGAGCAGAGAAAGACACACAAAAATGAGCATCAAATCAAGTCGCATGATCATAAAAATTGTGCCACTTTTGTACCCAACCACTGTCCTAGTCATTCGAAAATATTGTGTTCAGAGTTTGCATACACTCCATCTTCACATCCATCTACATCGCCAGACACGTTCGCGTAATAACGCTTCGTCTTCGTATCTGGGTGGCTAATCATTCTCAAATACCATAAAAACACATTTCACAGAGAGATCAGCTGATGGCTAGAAAAGCTGGCCAGAAGCTGAGAAGCAGCTAAAACAAAAACGGGAGCAGCTACCAATAGCTTAGGAAGTCAACAGTCAGCACAAATCTTGGCCGTACGGCGTGCTAATCTCGTGCTGCCGTTTTAACATGATGCGTACAGTAAAAACTAAGTATATTATCCCAAGACTTAAATACGTCTTTTTAATTTTTTATTTTTTAATTGAAAATCTATGAGCATAATAGCATTAAATATTGTGTGTTGCTCAATATTAATTTAAGAAAAATGTTATTATTAAAATTGGGTATTATTTGGTATATCCCAATGATCAATAGATCATAATCGTAAAGATCCCTATACCATTTTATACACTTTAACTTTTTGAACACTAGGTCTATATCTTATATTTACTTTCTTTTTTCGTTTTTTTAAAAAGTGATTCAGCGTTTAATTAAATAAATTTTCCACGTATCAAAAGAAAGGAAGTTCTATTTTATACGTGAGGCTCCAGTTTACCTGTCCATCAGAGGGTTTGTTCTGTTAATTCGGTTGTTTAAATTGTTTATTCCGTTTAAAAAAAAGTATAATAATATTTGCTGTATACAAAACAAATTTTTTTGTGATAAAAACATATAACCGGTTTAGTAAAGATTGGTTTATTAAAACTATTTACGTAGGCAAAATGCCTTTTTAGTCTGGTTCCTTCCAGCTCTTTTATTTATTGTATTTTCATTAATATTCAATCTACCCTCTTACTATGTCTTTAGCTTAAATTCGATGATTTTCGATATGGTTGTACAGCTCTTTTACTTGATCTGTTCAAATGTGGGCTAATCGCCGCTGGTATTATTGATGTAGATGCCTTTCACGATGCTTCAGCTGCTTGGCGCTTTTCTGTTTGTTTATACATCTCAAACTTATTTTTCTTCAAGCAGCTCAAAGATTTCGGCAGCATTTTGTGATTGTTCCTTAATTGTTGTGGGTATTTTGTGGTTTATGGTTTATGATACGTTGTACTACTGATGAGATGGAAGCTACAGAGAGGAGTGGCGGGTTGTCAGTCTAAAGTTCACAAGTTGTCAAAATGTTTGCGCTAAAGTCTCAGACCCCGAGCATTTAGTGGCCCGGACTTATCTGACTGTGTTAACACATTACCAACACTGACGTCCAACTCACGGAGTGCTTTTTTCTCATTTTGACAGGGCTGATTCAACAAATAAACAAGAGGTGAAAAGCACACAGAGAACAAATGTTTTTTTAAATTAATTCAAGGGGTTAGTGAAATTTAAAAGAGATTTGAATTTCATTGAATTTCTATAATCTTTTAAATGAGTTTTTATTTTCTGAAATTATATTTTATTATATTTGGGATCTTTTGACCAGTTCTGTGGAACATAAAAGATCAAATTGATATTATTATCGATCTCTATACGCTAAAAATGTTTTTTTTTACAGCAGGGGCACCATTTAACATATAATATATTCGATTGGAATGTAATTTTTTTTTAATTGTTAAAATTTGTTACTATGTTTTGTTCTCTGTAGTCTTCAGGAAAATAAATATCTACTAATTGGAAATAGACACTGACGAACCCGCGGAAAAGTTTCCTCTTACTGTACTTCTCTCAATTCACTTGCTTAAAAAACAATAAAAAGCAGAACGAGAGGAAAATGCAGACGTTCTTCCGAGGCAATGATTAATGGATGCCAAACGATTGTGAAATCCTATAAACAAAGTCGAACCAGAGACAAAGACTCACAGAGGGACCTGCCCCCGGAAAACTGCATTTGGCTTCGATCACCTTCCAGAATCAACTGTCAAATCTGTGAATCCTCACCTGATCTGGCTGTGAAATCAAAGAGTGGGTGCAGAAGGCGCTTGGCCATAGAATTCTCTCGCACTATCAATGGAAAATCATAAAAACTTTATGGCCTCCGGCAAAAAAGAGAGAAGCTGCCTCAGCAGAAGCCACAATTCTTTTAAGTGCCCTCGGTCGTAATTACTCCCAAGCCCAAAGTCAGCTGAAAAATATGCCACTACAGATCTACAAACATTATTCTGTATATATAGTTCTTCTCGATAAGCAAACATTTTCGTGGGGGAGGGCGCTACATCGATTGTTTGGTATTGTTCGGCCGAATGACCGATTCGGGGAAGCCATTCCCGATTTGTGCCACAAAAGCTCACTCAAACGGCTTTAAAGAGTCCGAAGCGAAGAACAACAAACAAAAACGTCGTGTTATGAGCTATTAACGTAATTGGAAAATGGCATTGGGGGAATTTGAGCGCTCGTTGAAGCACTACAATGAAAAACTTGAGCTACTGTAGATGAAAAAAATAAACACAGAGTTAAGCGCATATGGAGTTAATGAACAAATTTCTGGTTACTAAGTGGATAGTAATTACTATTTATTTCAAAAAGTTTTAAATGAGTATTAAGTTTATTTTTATTAAATAGATAGTTGGACTTATGGCATTATATTTTGTATAGGGCTTATAACAGCTTATCCAACTTAAATTAAAGAATCATAACAAAAATTACACTGCATTCCAAAATATGAAAAAAAAGTATTTATATTCGACACTCTTTCCCTTTCTCTGTGCTCTTTTCCTTTTCTCGAACTGGATCATTTTGAGGTATCTGTGCCTGAGTTTTCGGCTTGTAATTAAAAACGCATAAAATCGAAACAACAAAGTAGCCCAACAAAAACAGCAATAACGAGAAACAAACAGAAAAAATGTTAATACTCTGCCTCGGAATCATTTTTACGCAATGTTCTCTTCATAATTCAATTGTTTTTATTACGTGCGCCGACACACGGCGATCATAAAATTTTATTAATTTAATTGGATTTTTTTCTTGTTTTAGTTTTCGGCTTTAGTCGTAATTAACGTAGAAAGTGCTGAGTGCGCGGCCACAGGAAATGATTCTTCCCCGTGCAACAAATTAAAAAAACCGCAAGAAGTATAAGAGCAAAAAAAAAAAGAAAACAACAAAAAACCGAAAACAAATTTAGTTTATAAATTATTTCAAGCTTTTATTATTATTTATTTACCATTTTTACCACCCATTGTTGCTTAAACAATTAAAAATACACACAAAAGCCCCGAAAAGAGCCACAAAAATAATATATTTCGAGTCAACTGCTTGGCTTTTTACGAGCGATTCACTTGATTTACTAGCCAGCCCCCGAAGAAGTATCTGAGTATCTGAGCATTCGAGTATCTCAGTATTTGAGTATCTGTGTGGGACAAGCGTGTTGAAACGGACAGTCAGCATCAGCAGCGGCCGAGTACTAAAAGAGATTTATGCCCATTTTGTCAGCTGCTCACTCACTGCAGACATTCCGCCACTCCGTTCCCAAGTTCAAACTCTATGAAAATGGATTTCAACATGAGTTTTACTGGCCGACATAAAT